CGTCCGCTGAGCAGTGAATTGAGCTCCCGCAGAAGCTCATTCTCCCGCTTCACCTCCTCATTTTCCGCTTCAAGAGTTTCTAGGCGATCGTCAATCTGGTCGACAAAACGGGTGAATCGCAGCTGACTGGGCAGGTTGTGGGCACAACTGTCCTCCATCGGTAGTAGTCGCTTTCGATTTGTAGACCTTCTCCGGCTGTCAAACCAGGCCGAAGTGTTGTGCAGTATGGAGTTCCACTGGCGAGGACCCTGATTTTTGAGTGTTCGACATTGACCGAAAGATAATGCCTGGTAACCATCCTCCTCCTCTTCCTCCCCCTCAAGTAAATGCTCCCCATCCTCACAGCGCTCTCGATGACAGAGGCGAAACTGCATCAACCGCAGATCACAGGCACAGCAGGCGCAGCAGTGCTCCCCAACGAACTTCTTCAGCAGCAGCTCGTGCGAGGCCAGAGCCAGCATCACCTCCTCAGTTCGACCGGCGCTGCCCACCAGCCGGTGTTGCATGGCCGCCACCCGCCGCGCCGACTCCTCCCTCACCTCCGCCAGACTGGTCACCAGCGTCTGATTGTGCTCCAGTAGGTCGGCCACCAGCCGCTCAAGTGTGAGGATGCGTTTCTAGGAGGAAAAAAGGGAGAAAAGAGGAGAAAAGAGGACAGGGATGAGATTACTTTCAGTGCTGTGTCATCGTTGGCACAGTTTGGTGCTGTGCTGTGCTGTGCTTTTGCTGTGTTTGTTTTTTGGCTTTTTTCTGGTTCACTAGCTGCTGTTACTGTTGCTGTACAACAGCACAAGAGGAAACTAATGCCTGCTGTGTGCTCTTGTGTGCTCTTGTTATCTCGCGCTCTTTACCTCATTTCCCATTGCCGCTGAGCAGCGAACTAGCTGCTCAACCTCGAGTCGATATTCGGCGTAGAGCTGCTGAAGATCATCAGAAGTTTCGGCGGCGGCGGTGTCGATTGCCTCATCAGGCTCCTCTTCTTCTTCTTCAGTTTCACTATCACATTGCTGCTCCTTCTCGGTGGTGTTGTCGTTGAAGATGAAGAAATCTATTGACGGAAAATCGTTCGTCTCCTCTTCCACCTCCACCACAACCTCCTCACCAAAGTGGACCGTCTTCTTTGGTCGGCTTTCTTTGTTGTCCAGACTTGAACTCATAGTCTTTGCAGTAGTGCGGCGCATTTTCTTCTTTGGCGCCATGTTGGCGTCTGCTTGAAAGACTGCAAAACACTGGTCACTGAACACTTTGTCGTTGTTTTCACTGTCGCTGTCGTTGAAGTTGACGTTGGAGTTGAAATCAGTAGCCGTAGCGGGTAGTTCATTGCACAGACACTCGTCGTCGTTGAGCGGTTGCGGGAGAGGCGACAAAAGCGGCATTCGAGAATGAACAGTTATTTTGGTGGTGACTATTCTTCTCTTCCCTTCTCTTCTACTTCTCGTTAACAATCAACAGCAACGGTGCGTCAATTGGAGGAATCCGCTGTGGTGGTTGGTTGGTTGAGGTGCTTAGCATTTAGACACACTCACACACAAACACTGAGGAGACAGAGAAGGCACGGTATGCGACACATCCATCCCATCCCATCTTGGCGACGGCAGGGCAATAACTACCAGCAATTTGCACTACCACTGCACAACACCACCAACATCGACGCAATCAGAAACGGCAGAGACGGAGACGGAGTAGAATGATGAGAAGAAGGAGACACATGCGCCCGAGACGACGGCAACGGTAGTGAGGATGGTTGCAGCGGCGGCGGCACTTTGTACAAACAGCACAACTT